TGAGAATTTTTACCAAACAGGCTTTTACTTCATAAGAAGATGAATTATTTTGCTTAATTTCTGCATAAAATTATGATAAAGTTTTGGTTCAAATTAAAGTTGGCCCATTACTACAATGTACACTGAACTTCGCCCAACCCCGGGCTTGGCCCATTGACATGATTATTTAGTTTAGTTATTTCACTGGAAAACAAATTATGACCTAAGATCTTTAAATTCCTAGTAGAATTTAACATCATGTTGTTGGTTCGATTACAATCAAAACTCTTGAATCTTTATTCAAGCAGCAAGAATCGGATAAAAAAAAACGCATTGAGAGTTCGCAAGAACCATTTGAAGGGCAAATCATCATTAAATATCTTTGCACTATCACCATCGCGACCAATTGCCTCCATACCATCGACCACCACCACTACCCCAACCTCCAAAATCTTAGCCTATTCCATCTAACCCACCACCACAGCAATTATAGATATGCAAGCCATTGCCACCGCCAACACTTTTCCTAATCTCATTACCGAAACGCATAAATCCACATCTAAAACATGAGACTACAATTTCACAAATAAAAAGGAAAAAGAAAATATTTACTTTTTTCCACAATGATGACGTGAGTTGGTAAAGATGGAGGAGATGGGGCTTGGGGGGTTGAGATTGAAGAAGAAAAAGAGAGATACTAGAGAAGATACATTGGGCGACGGTGGTGTGTTCGATATAGGTGGTGGTAGTAGAAAATGACTGCCTATTTCTAAACATGTACCATGAGTTTTTGTGTGTTTAAAAAAAAATGTTAGCATTTTATCTATAATATATTAAATATCACATCAAGTGATAGTTATTTTTTGGACGATTTTAACTTTACTACAATTCAATTATTTCAATAATATATTACTTTTTGTTTTTCAATATGTAATAAATACTATAAAATCATCGTCATATGTGAATTTTGTGTTATTAATTATCAATTAATTGACATTCATTTTAATTTAGACTCAATTAATCTCGATCTACATGAATCTATAGTTAAAATAGATTAATTTATTTATATTCATGAATCTAGGAATTTTAATAGATGTTTAGATTCATGTATTAGCAATTAATTTTTATGCACCAAATATAGTATAAAAATGTTGCTCATTTGTAGTATTTCATCATCTCCAAAAATATGAATCATAGAAGTTGGATTTTGATAGCACAATTTTCTTCTTTTAAATTTATATCCTAAATTTTATTTCCATTAGTTAGTTTGTGACTCATCAACTCCTCCAAACAAATTAGTATAAAATTTTATTTTTACAGCACTTATAAAATATTTTAAAATAACACGCAATGCACGTTCAACTCTAATTAATATATTTAAAAGTTTAAGCAATAACAATAAAATTTCAAAACTAAACAAAGCTTGCAATGTAATTATCCCTAATTAATTTGGGGGATCGAAACAATGTTTTCCTTGTGAAATTTGGTGTACAATTTGAAACACCAAAACTAGTAAGGGGAGTGTCACTAAAACTTCTAGTGCATATATAAAATGAATTGAGGAGATAACAGAACGAACATGAAATTTTGTTAGCAAATTCACAACATATTGTTCTTTAAATCTAACTACAAAAAATAACTTGTACCCGAAATGGCGAAATCCAACTACTATCATAGCTTTAGATCGATAAATAAACAAACTTTTTTTTTTTTTGAAAGCAATAAATAAACAAACTGAAATCAACTTAAAATTTGAGAAAATGCAATTGTGACTAATAGTCTATACAAATATTAAAAACATACATATAATGATTTTATTTATTTTTAATTGATGTCCTTATCTACATTGTAAAGTTGCAAACGCGCTTAATCCAATAAGCCAAAATTAGCTCAACCATCAATAGAATCTCTGACCTACTTAAATAAGTTGTCTTATTTTATCTTATAATTAATTAATTATTTATTAGCTTACATATAATTGATAAATTGGAAATTAATGTCCCTGGAAAAAATTAATTATTTCCTAAANTGGAAAAAATTAATTATTTCCTAAAATTAGAAATAATCAAATCACTTATTTTTATTGTTAAAAAAATTATGTACTTTTAAAAAGGTATAAATCAACCTTACTTTAATTACTATTCAAGTCAAAGATCATCACCATCCTCCCTTAATCATTTTGTCTCGATTTTACAAACTAATTTTCTTTTATAAAAAAATTATTTAATTATTTTCAATATGTTAGAAATAAAATAAAATAATTTGAAATAATTTCTAAAAAGGTCATTCAAAATATTATCGTGAATAATCGGATTGCTTCAAAGTATTTTATGACTTTTCTCGACGAAATATTTTTCAATACTTTA